GCCCTTCTGTGTCTAACAAGCTAAAACACAGATCAAGTCTGCATATTTACAGATGTGAAACAATGGCTATATGTAAAACTGTGAATTTATTTGATTCATTTGTTTTAAGGTCTGAAAATTTCATTTTCTGGTAATCTAATTTGGTCTGCAAATGTACTTCCAGGTTACTAGAAAAATTAAGAGAAGTTATAAATGTAAGAAATTTCAATCACTTGAGATTTTCGTACGAGAGACTCTTGAATGTGAATGCATCTACTTACTATGTTGATTCTCCCATTCTTCATATTGTTTTTGTGCTTGGTCACTCATTAAAATAGACAGGAATCCCACACATGAATGTATCAGGCTGTTCGTGTTCCGTATGCTCTAAGCATAAAGGGTGCAGCGCTGAAAAAGCAGCTCCACAGTGTTGGGGATCAAGTCCCCTTTCATCTTGTTGCTCTGTCCTTTTCACCTTGCAGATTTCATCTCATGGTCCAAGATGGCTGGTCTACTTTTGCATAGCGACTGGCAGGATGGTGAAAAAAAGTATGGCATGGAGATACTCCTTTCCTTTCTATGTCACAAAGGAAGTTCCACTTTTCACTCCTGTGTTTAGTTGTCTACAAGCTTATTCTCCATCTTCCTTTCACCCAAGTTTTGAGGATTACGCATTAATTGTTTTCCATTCTAACTTTCTGTAAGTCTTACTTTGCTGACAATGGCAGTAGGGGCCTATTTGATGGTTTAAAGACAGTTTAAGAGCTATGGAGATTCTAATATCAGAGGGAGGGTCGGGAAAAGTACTCGGGTTACTGTGTTGAACAAGATTTCAAGAATATTCATGAGAATGTTAAAAGTTACTCATTCAGTATTTATTGAGTACCAGTTTTGGTGTGGCCTTGTACAAAATCCAGACACATCATAACAATTATAGGTGGATCTGGCTCTTGTGATCATCACAATCCGAGTTGACCTGCTTCTCATTTCATCCTGCCAATAAAAGCTATGGTGCAATGTGTGTTATTCCCTCATTCTCCATTTTAGCAATAAAGTGTTTTACTATGGGTGTCCCTGTGGGCAGAGTAAGGGAATAACTGTGAGTCAGTCTGACACTGCATTCTAAATAGCTTATCCCCCACCCTGCCCCAGATTAGTTTGTCTTGACTAATGGAAAAGTTTCTATCTAAACAACTATTTAGACTTATCAAGACAAATTTTAAAGAGTTGAATACTTATATAGTGAAGGATTGCTGAATAGTTGGAATGATAGGCATTTTTTTCACTTATTTTTATTTTCTTATTTTAAAAATAATATTTAAGTATAGCCTTTATAATAAAAGGGGAGGAAACCCTTTATTCCAAAAAGAGGTAGAAATTATTCAATTTACACCCAATTGAATTTAAGGGCCTCAAAAGTTAAAAGAAAGGCTGGGCGTGGTGGCTCATGCTTGTAATCCCAGCACTTTGGGAGGCCAAGGTGGGCAGATCATCTGAGGTCAGGAGTTTGAGACCAGCCTAGCCAACATGTTGAAACCCTGTCTCTATTAAAAACACAAAAAATTAGCCAGCCATGGTGGCAGGCACCTGTAATCCCAGCTACTTGGGAGGCTGAGGCAGGAGAATCGCTTGAACTTGGGAGGCAGAGGTTGCAGCGAGCCGAGATTGTGCCATTGCACTCCAGCCTGGGCAACAAGAGCAAGACTTTGTCTCAGAGAGAAAAAAAAAAAGATAAAGTGAAATAGTCATTCTCTTACTTGTGTTTTTCAAATGATGACAAGGATGTAGTTTTGGCTTCAAGGAATTTAAAACTTAATTTCTTAGATTAAGTAGGATTTTTTTCCTCCAGAATAATTGTTGAAAGCTATGTAATTGCAGTAAAACTCACAACTCTTATGAAACAATATTTCTTTTATTGTTCTATTGGCACAAGAGTGCTGCGATTTTTGTTTTGGGAGACAACACTTAAGAATATGAAAACTCTCCTACAACTTTGCTCTCATGTCAATAGGAGAAATTGTTTTCATATCAACAGACCAGTGAGTCAATGAAATCACAAACAGAATAATCATTTCTTAACATTTTCACGTACATCAGAATATTTTCTCTCCTTAACAATTTTTATGGGACATTATCACTATATTGTATATGAATAAATGTAGGATAAGCAGAAAACTAAAATTAATATCTTTTTTAAAAAAATCATTCAATTTGTGTTGAAGCAAGGCTGCAGAAGGTCTTGCTTAGCAAGGCAGGAAAATTCAACTTAATTCTAAGGACAATGGGAAGTTATTAAATTTTTCTGAAGAGGAGCTTGATAGTATTGGAATGAATTTGAGAAAGATTGATTCTGTAATGATGTATTCTACGTATTAGACTGCAAATCCTAAGGTAGGTAACTAGTTTGGGATATTTCAACAGCAAAGATGTGAAGTTGTAAGAGCCTGAATTGGGGTGATATTAGTTGTGGTGACAGTAGTAGTCCTAGAGAGGAAAGGGCAGTTGAGAGAATTATTACTAAAGAATTGACTCTTCACTGCAAAATGGTGAAAACACTGGAATGTAAACTCTTTGAGAGCAGAGAACTTGCCTTTTTTTTTTTTTAAACTTTTTAATAATCCCTGTGCATAGAATTATGTCTGGTATGCATTGGAACTCAATAAGTGTTAAATTAAGATAAAAGTAAGTAAATGCAATAAAATGTAATATGTGCTATAACAGGAGCAGAAAAAAAGGCTTCACAGAAGAGGAGATACTTGAATTGTGTCTAGTGCATTTAGCTAGAGTGTTTCAGAAAGACAAGAAGTGGAGAGGATATCAAGGCAGAGGGAAGAGCCCAGGCTCCAAGACCTGAAACAGCATGGTATGAGGATGAACAATCACCAACAATCACCAGCAGTTTGCCAATTCTGAAGCATGCTTCACTAAGCAGGAAGGAGTAGAAGTTGGTGCTGGACTTGAAGAGCCTGGGTATCAAGATAAGGACTTTTGACTTATTATAGATTTTTAAATAATTTAGTAACATGAAGAGGCTTTTACTATAGGAGAGATCTAGTGGAAGTGAATAGAGGGTTTAGCAATACCTCCTCTATATTTAGAGTAAAACATTTGAGGTCAGAGTCAAATGAGAAAGCTATTGCAACAATCTATAAAAGAGGTGATGAAGACCTGGATTAAGGAAGTGATGACAGGGATTACAGATTATGGTAAGGTTTTGAGAAAACGTAGGTGTTAGAAAATAAATACAGGTGATGAATTAAAGGTATAGGACAGTGAAGCAGGCAGTAGAGTCAAGGATGCATCCCAGGGGCCCACTAACCCAAAGGTGGTACTATTACATACTGAGAAATGAAAAACAGGAGGAGGAGGAGTAAGGAGAAGGAAAATATGAGTTAAATTTTAGGAATATTGACTTTGAAGTGTGAGGGGGGACAAGCAACCAGGTTGGTTGGAGAGTGACCTGGGCCAGAGATATGGTTTGGGGGGTCATTTGGGTCAAAGTTAAGACAGAGAGCTGGGTAATTTTGTAGCAAGAGAGTGTGTTACAGGAAAACAGATGTAGGTTGAAGATGAAACTCTGGGAAATACTCACATTTAATAGTCAAGTGGAGGAAGACAAATCTGCCAAGGAGACTAAAATGCAATGGCCCGGGTATCAGAGTAGAACCAGAAGAGCCTTCGCATCAGACTTAAGAGTTTGACTCATAGAAGGCTTTATAAATTACAGAGGGATCCAAGAAGGGGAATTTCAATGAGGAAGAGTTAGATCAGAAATATAATTAAGATTCAAGGGAGATAAACATTTAAAAATAATCATCAAGTTTGAGATATAAAGAGTAACAGGTAAACTTTCCATGAACTATTTCATCAGAGGTGAACTAGAAGCCAGATTTTAAATGAACTGAGAACTAATAGGTCACAAGTCAATAATGACAATCTTCCTCTAAACAGTCTATTGTGAGATGGAGGAAGAAAGAGGGTGACAGCTAAAGAAAAAGTAAAGATTGGGCACAGTGTTATTTTGTATATTTATGGTTTATACAGATGGGAGCAATGTGAACATGGCATCCAAATCCTTATCACCAGCCATGACCACCACCCCCTGAGCTCATGGTCTTTTGTTTATGTGAATATTTGATACATCTTAAAATTCTTCCAGGCATCTCAAATTCAACATTCCATCTTCTACTCTAAGTTACTTCTTCTTCCTATATTACATACCACCTTTCAATTAACCAGACTAGAAGCCTATAACTCATTCTTCACCAACCACTTCAAATAAATTACCACCTTCTATATAGCTTGAATTCACATACATATCCCCCTTTCTATTCCCTGGTACAGATCCTAATCCTCGCTTAACTAGACTCCATCCTCCACCTTGTATCAGTGATCATTCTGGAGACTTTGAGCTACTTGTCCCTTCTGTGCCAGACACTTTAATGGCTACCCACTGCCCACAGGACAAAGACCCATGCTCCTTAGCAAGAAACTCCAATGGGTGGAATTCTCTCATGACCTAACCTCTACATACCAAAGAGTGCTTCTCTCCAGTAATACCAAAACGATGGTAGTTCCCTGAATGCATCTTCTTGTCACACTTTCTGTTGTTGCTCCCACTTTCCTCCTTTATCTAGAATACCTTTCTGTGCTTTCTCTAATTAGCTAACTCCTACTCATCTTTCAGGGTTTCACCCAAACATCATACTCTTTATTTAAAGTCTTCTCTTAAGCCCTCCCATCCTCTCCCAGTGTGGTTGAGTGCCATTTCTCTATACTGCTGTAACGCTCTACATACATTATAATCATAGACTTCCTCACGCTGATTGAAGATGTTGATATGTGCCTGTTTCTCCTTGGATTTTGAGCTCTTTGAGATCAGCAATGACACCTTGCTGCTTTTGTACCTTGTTATTTAGCATATCACCTGGTTCATAGTAATTGCTCAAATGCTTGTTCAACTACACTGAACAGTGGAAGAAAAGTAAAAATGCTCAACAGAGGAGAATCCAAAGAGATTTGAAAAGAAGTGGTTGGGAATGCAGTAAGGATGACACATTATGGGACAACTTTGAATAGAAGAGAAGTCTTTAACCATGTGCCTAAGAGGAAGCAGGTAAAGATGGAGACCAATGAAAGGTAGGAAATGAAGGGAGTTTCAGGTTGAAGGCTCAATTCAATAGGCGATTGAACAGAGTGACTGTTCAACTAAAACTTGGTAAAGATGGTGGCAAGGAAATATATATGACATATTTGCTGGGAAAGTAAATGCATATCTTAGATGCAAAGACCCTGGAAACATTTTATTCTGGAATGTGGCATCTCCTAAGGCTTATTCATATACTTGAAATTCTTTTTCGAGGCAAAGTTTTAGATACACTTGTGGCATTTTCTCTGCATGTGTGTGCAAATGCTTGTGCCTGAAGATCTTTGCTTTTCTGCCAGGTTGCAGACTTGCCACTAGAGCTGAGATTGGTCATTGTGACATTGCCGTTCATGGAGTCCAGTGAAGCATGACTCACGGCAATGCTGCTCACGCTATGGGAAGAATAACTGTAGATCATCTTGAGAAAGGCAGACTTGGTGTTAATATCTTGCTTACAAATAATAACATAGCATTTGGGGAAGAATGTGCAACACAGGATTCCATAGTTAGATATTAATATGACAATAATCTCCACAGCTGGTACATATTTGCCGAATGTGGTAGCATAGATAGGGATGAATGTGATCCAAGCTATGAAGTAAATGAGCATGCCAAATGTTATGAATTTGGCTTCATTGTAATTCTCAGGTAATTTCCTGCCTTTGAAAGCAAATATGAAGCAAATGAAGGCTAGGATGGCAATGTAGCCCAGCATGGTGCCAAATGCAAGTATGGATCCCTCCTCACACTCCAGGATGATGACTCTGGGCAAGGAGACATTCACCTCTACAGTAGGTGCTGCAAAGATTAACCAGAGTGTGCAAATGACAACCTGGATACCCGTGCAAGTGAAGATAATAAGGATTGGTTTATAGAGGCACTTCAGAAATTTCTGTAATTTGGGATCAAAGCTGAAGGCTAGCAAAATTTTCAGGGACTTCGTCAAAATGCAGGAGATGCAGAGAGTAAAGCTCACTCCAAACAGTGTCTGCCTGGTTTTACATGTGAAGTCTTGTGGTTCTCCAATGAAAAAGCTCGTGCTGGCAAAATTGAGGAAATGACAGAGAAGGATCACACAGCAAATTCTTAATCCCCCGGATGATTTCACAACAGGTGTGTTCAGGTTTCTTGTAAATATTATGCCAACAACCAGAACAAATATGATTCCCAGTAGGGAGAGGATCAAGAGCAGGATGGCCAAGGAGTCATTCCAGTTGAGATATTCCACTTCCTTTTCAAAGCACACAGTGCTCCTAACAGGGGCCCAGTGAGTTTCATTGTTGCATAAAAGGCAGTGAGGCATATCTAAAAGACAGACGAGATGCAGTTACATTGTCAACATTTAAACTAGGTGATAGTCCACAATACTACAAATGAGATTCGCCTTCTGTAATAGTTCTGACTAGAGAACAGATATAGATGATTGTCACGTTGGTTACTTATTAAAATAAAGCATGCTCAAACTTAAAGAAAGTGAGAGAGAGAAGGTAAAAGTGAGGAGAAAGGAAAAGAAAGAGAAAAAAGAGAAAAAAAAAGCCAGCTGGATTGTGAATATTTAGCAGATGAATATACTCAGAATACATGCTAGCTTCTTATGCATTTGCTATTATAGATGATAGTTCCAGCACTCTTAAGAATAAGGCTTTGGAATCAGACATAGCTTTTCTTATCTCTTCCACTTATAATTCCTGTCAACTTGAACAAACGACGGAACTTTCTGAGCCTGTTTCAGAATCTCCCATATCTCAAAAAACAATAAAATGAAAAGACTCTGCCTTGTTAGGATGCCGTACTCAATGAGATAATAAATGTAAAATGCTTCACACAGACCATTACACATAGTAGACCCTCAATGTATGGGAGCTGCTATCATGAATAAGGGTGCAATTCTTTTAAAAGAAGAGGCAATATGGCTAGGTTACTCTAAAAGCTTGAAGTCTCTTTCTAAAAGTGAGATAATGCAAAATTGCAGTCAATGGCAATTGAAGAATTAAAGTTTATTTTTTCTCCAAGTAGTGGGTAAATCGGAGCCTCTCGCACTGGAAGTGATAACTTTGAAAAGTATTTATGCTGATTCTGGTTGCAGGGCAGCACAAACAGTTGATGTTAGAGTTGTGTCTCTAGAAGTGATATTACATTTGCTCCCCATTCCAGCCACCCAAAGTTGGTGAGTCCCAGCTTTCAACCAAAGGGCCTCTGTCAGGGCATTCATCTGATTACATCCCACAGTGTCTGTACAACTCTTTAAAATTTTGTGTTCTCTTCTTTATTAACCTCAAAGTAAGGTTGTATTTCTGTTTATAAACTTCATGACCCTTCCAGCCTCCTCCTCTTTCTGAACTCTATTCCCCTGAAAATACCTGTTCCTTTCTGTTTGCACCATAACCACAGTTGCTAGTGTCTGTCATTTCATTCGTCCAGTGGACATTTACTGGCCTCATCTAGGTATGAGAGCTGTGTGTTAGAGACATAGAAAGGAACAGCAAATGGTATCTGTTTAGGCTTTCCTAACTCCTAGCTTATCCTCCAAGTTGTCTTCAGTCTTCTACATTTCTACATTTGTTCTTGGAAGCGACTTACCCTGGTTACCAAAAGCAAACCCAGCTATAGCCTTTAAAGAGTCCCATACATCTTTATGGAAAATAAATGTTACATACTCCTTGGTGTTTTTATTTCTCTCACTTGGAAGATAGTTGCTAGTTACCGTGTTGCCTGAAAAACTCCCTCCCTAATTATCTAATTTTTTAGGTGGTGGTATAGCATTTTTATTTATTGATCATTTAAATGTTCACTTCCACTAATATAAACATTATTAAACATGCCAAGGAATGGGAAAATTTTAAATGTGAGATAATAAAATGCAGATACACATAAAGTTCTGATACTCTCAGGTTGGAATAAATGGCATTTTTTTGTGACACAATAACAGAACATGAATCTTGGAATATTTTCATTGGTATACTTTTCTCCTTGAAGCCAATAGCAAAAAGGATAGGCATCTGGGGACTATTCCAATTCTGGAGTTCTCAGCTTTTCTACAAGATGAATGGGAATGCTCTAATAAACAAGGAAATCTGATGCTTTTAAATTAGGCTGAACTCCAGGGAAAGTGCTCATAGTTTCTTTTTAGGCTCCTAAGGCTGCTGACCTCACTCTCGTACTTTAATTTGTGTATTTTGCTTTCATCTTGTGAAATTTTTAAAGATAGGGTTGGCAAACAGTCAGTTACCAGCATCTCATCCCTGTCAATAATTGGTCCCTTGTCTCACAGAAGAAGTTGCTTTCAGGTTTAACTTTTGCTTCTTGGTAGAAATAATGAGATCACCAGGATGTACACACCTGTTTCTCAACTCCAGGTGCCTCTGGGTTTCTATTATGTTTAGTTAATTCAATGTTTACTTTTTGTATTTTTTTGTACCCCAGTTACAAGCCAAGCACATCTGTATAGGGATACATGGCCAAAATTTACGGAGAAGTTGCATCATTTTAAGAGTTGCATACTTTAGAAAATATGAGTGAAGGGATGACATTTTCCCTTGGAAGTAAAGTAACTTTTACATCTCTATTGTTTATTGGCTGTGCACCTGTTGACACAATAGAGCAAATTCTAAGATAAAATGAAACTTCACTGGAATTTAATTTCACAGGAGCATGGGAAGCTTTTTAAATTTTTTCAAATGAAAAAACAAACCAAAATCAAATTCATGCCAAAAAAAAAAAAAAAAAAACCTAAGAGGAATGATTCAGATGTATCACTGTCCATGTGGAGTGACTGTAATTACCTGTCTGATTACTGTAGTGATTTTCAGGACAGTTCTCACATTCATAGCAACAGATGTGTTGACTTCTTGTAGTTTTCTTCATTTGCCCAGGACTGCATTCCTTGGAGCATTTAGATTGAATTTGCTATATTAAAAGTGAAAGAAAAATCACAAGTAAATTTGTAAAAAGAATTATCCTAATCAATTATCCTCAGCTTAATTTAAGATATATTTACTAAATACTATTTTGGTCTGTTTTCATAGGATTATAGACTCTTTTTCCATCTTAGGAAATGTAAACAAGCTTTTAAGATGGAGAAGCTGCTTTAAGAAGAACACAGTTTTTGTTGCATTAAAAACTTCTGTAAGCAAATTATGGAAATTAGCCCTTTCAGAAAGTCCCTAGTAGAGGGAGAAATGTGTAATGCTAGAACTAAAGAAAATAATGATGGTTTGGGAAGTTTCAATCCCATGTTGAATGAGGGGTTCCACTAGATAAGAAAATAGCAAATGGCTAGATTTTTGTATTCTTTAAAAGAAAGTTCTTACCATGCTGGCAAGGGGCATGTCCTGTCTAACTCTAAAAAATAAAAAAAAATTGAGTTTAAAATAAAATTTAAAATTTAATACTCTAATATTAGAATATTAGATTTAAAAGACAGTGCTAAATATATAATATTTAAATAATCTTGAGAATTCAAGTTATAATTTGCATGTCGCAATTTGAATTACATGCAGTGTTCTAGTTTTATGAAACTCTAGCTAGTAATTCTTTGCATTTCAGCTATGTTATTATTCTCTGTTCATAGACCCTTTTTCATGGCATATCTTGTGAGAGAAATCTGCTTTGTCTTGTCACTTCTACTGTTGGAGCAGGGCAGAATGGTTAAATGAGTCTTTCTCAAGATTCTGTTATCCATTATTTCCTACTCTGGAACACAATTGAAGTACTAAGCTAACCAGTCTTTCTCTGGAAGATACAAATGATCTGTCTGAGATAGAAAAGAAAAGATTCAGTAGGCCCTGGGTCTGCAAGCACTGGTTTTCTTCTTCTCTCCACTTATTGCTGACCTGGGTTTTCAGCAGGTAGTATATATGCCTTGAGAATTCCCCAGGGTAAACTTTTAAAGTATCCACTCTCCTGGAGGGTGCTCAGAGGACACAAAAGGATTTAACTATGAGATAAAGCCAGACCTTGTTAGGGTCCCTTCTCTCCCTCCGCATCAAGAGCAAAGACAGTCTAAAATCTTGTACTGATTACTTTAGGCTTCAATTGATTTAGGATTATCTGATGTTTTGTACTATGAGTTCTTGTGACTTACCAGAAATGTCAATACCCCAACTAGCCTGCAAATTGACAAATCCAGAAATCTGACCTAAACGATTTCAGATATTGTTGGTTTTTAGTGTATCTTTGAAATAATTACAGGTGTCTCCATCAGAAAGGAAGACTTGTCTCTCTGTTCGTAGTGGTCAGCCCCTTCCATTTAGTCACTAAGAGCCTCACATAATTACCTGTCATTCTATCACCTTCTCTTCATTAAGTGAATTCCCTACAGAGTCTGGAGATAAGTATTGATAGCAATTAACAGTGTTTCTTGCAAAAATAATAGCCATCTCTGTATTCAAAAAGAAAATGAATCAGAGCATGTTTTAAAAGTTCCAGTGTGAGTTACGGTGTTTAGCAGAGTGCTGGGTTTGTAATGTAGTTGTAAGGATAATGGTAAGGAAAATGAAGATGATGACAGCGAAAGTTTGAGAACACAGAAGAATGGCTACATTTCTGTCTTTCAAGGAAAAAGTGTCTTGCTTTACTAAAACCTTTACAGCCAGGGGAAATCTGATTAAGGAAAATGGTTTACAGCATTACTATGTTCATTCTTTCATTCGCCAAATATTGGTTGAGTGCCTATCTATGTTAGGCACTGTTCTAATTGTTGAAGCCACAGTGGGGAATGAAACATAAATATTTAGCTCATAGAACTTAAGTTCTAGTTGACAAGAGTGACAGAGTTAAAATAAGCAAAATGTACAGAATGACAGAAAGTTATAAGTGCTAAGGAGAAAAATAAGGATAGGACAGTGAATAAGAACTACTAGGCTGATGTTGCAATTTTTAAATAAGGTGCCCAGAGAAGGCCTCACTGAGGTGATGACATTTTAGAAAAGACAGAAAGAAATAAGAAAATTAACCACATGAACATCAGAGAAAATTATTGTAGGCAAAGGAAATAGCAGGGGCAAAGTGCTTGGGCTATGAGAAGGGAAGACACGCATGGAAGACCAAAAAGCCTGTGGGGATTGCAGGAGGACTGTACAGTAAGGGGAGGGTGGGAGATAAGGTCAGGGTGGTACTGGGGGTAGATTGTGTAGAAGTTTTAAAGACACTGGCTTTTACCCTCAGAGAAATAGGATGCCATCAAAGGATTCTGAGCAGAGCTCTATGTTTTACAGGACCGCTTGTATCTCTGTTGTGAAAACAGACTGAAGGGGGCCGGCGCAGTGGCTTACGCCTGTAATTCCAGCACTTTGGGAGGCCAAGGCAGGCAGATCACGAGGTCAGGAGTTCAAGACTAGCCTGGCCAACATGGTTAAACCCCATCTCTGTTAAAAATACAAAAATTAGCCGGGCATGGTGGCGCACGCCTGTAATCCCAGGTACTCAGGAGGCTAAGGCCAGAGAATTGCTTGAACCTGGGAGGCAGAAGTTGCAATGAGCTGAGATCGCGCCATTGCATACCAGCCTGGAAGACAGAGCAAGAATCCATCTCAGAAAAAAAAAAAAGGAAATAGACCGAAGGGTTAAGAGAGGAGGCAGAAAACTTTCTGCAATAATCTGGGTGAGAAGTGATTGCAACAGCACTGGAGTAGGTAGTAAAAAGTGGTCAGGTTCTGAACACATTTTGAAAGTAAAACTCATTGGTTATGGAGTGTCACTGAAAGAGGTGACAAGAATCCCAGCAGGTTTTCTCATGAGCAACTAGGGGAAGGGGGTTGCTGTTTATTGAGAGGCGAGTAGGTTGGGAGAGAATATCAGCTCTGTTTTGGAGATTTAGGTTGACTGCTACACATCCAGGTAGAGATGTCAATTAGGCAGTTGTATATTTATTTGGGTTAGAAGTCAGAAGATAAAAATCTAGTAGTCATCAGTCTCCTGTATAATATCATTTAAAGCCCCAAACCTGGATGAGATCACTAAGGAAAGTGGTAGACAAAAAGAGGAGCAGTTCTGAGCACTGGGCACCTGAATGATTAGAGGTAGTGTGAATGATGAGGAACTAGCAAAGGAGACAGAGAATTAGTGGCCAGATATACAGGAAGAAAATCAAGGGAATGTAGTGTGATGGAAGCAAACAAGGAAAAGATGTCATTGGGGGGAGAATAATTAGCTGGTAAGTGACATATATGATAATATTCGGCTTTATTAACTTGGGTGAGCTAGACAGAAACAATTTCGATAGATTGAAGACGATTCAAAAGAGTATGGGAGGAGAGAAATTGGGGCCATTAAATGCATTCAACTGTTTCAGGGAGTTTTACTGAAGAGAAATAGAGTATACAAAGAAAAACTTGAGGGAATGCCAGAGGTTCTTTGTTAGTTGAGATGAGAGAAATAATGACCTATTTATTTCATTAAGTGGATAATGTAGAAGAAGGAAAGATTGAGAATAAAGAAGAGAGAGTATAAAATTAATGTAATGTCTTTGAATAAGTGAAAGAGGTTGGAACCCAGAGGTGAAGTGGAGGAGCTGACCTTGGATAGAAGCACAGACAGTCCGTCTATAATGCCAGATGGAAGGCAGGGCCTTCTGTACCCCTGATGTGGTGGCAGGGGCCACTGGAATTCTCTTCTGATGTTTCAGTTTTGTTAGAACAGAAAATAGAGTTAACCGAAGTGAGAACGGGAAAGATGTACTGATCTCAGAGGATAGAAGAGAAGGCATAAAATAGCCATCTAGGAAGGTGAGTGAGTGCATGAACTAGGGCAATAATCTGATTGCCCTGCAGCGTTAAGAGCCCACTGGAAGCTAGAGATCATGAATTTAAAATGAGACTAGTCAGCGACCTCCCCTCCCCTCCCCCCCCTCCCCCCCTCTCTCTTTTCTATTCTTCTGTTTTCTGTTCTCTCTTTTCTTTTCCTTTCCTTTCCTTTCCCTTCCCTTCCCTTCCCTTCCCTTCCCTTCCCTTCCCTTCCCTTCCCTTCCCTTCCCTTCTCTTCTCTTCTCTTCTCTCTCTCTCTCTTTCTTTCTTTCTTTCTTTCTTTCTTTCTCTCTCTCTCTTTCTTTCTTCTTTCTTTTTCTTTCTTTCCTTCTCCCTCTCTTCCTCCCTCCCTCCCTCCCTCCCTTTCTTCCTTCCTTCCTTCCTTCCTTCCTTCCTTCCTTCCTTCCTTCCTTCCTTCCTTCCTTCCTTCCTTCCTTCCCTTCCTTTCCTTTTTTGCCAACTTCAGCTAAATAGGAGCTACATTGATTAGGCAGAAACTTGATTAACAGCGATTGTGCTTGGCCAGATGAGTATGATGAAGAGAGGGGCAGGGGAATTGAGGGTGTACAAGGGGGAGTTAAATAGTTGACCATGGAATTTGAGGAGGAAAGGTGGGGACAGTAAACAGGCAAGAGGGTCACTGGAGGTCTTGGTAGGGCAAGGACTTTTGCAGTTGAGGTACCAATTGCTTTGAGTGCTACAAAGCAGCCTACAACAAGATTACCTTAAGATTCCTGAACTCATTTTTTGTTTCCTGATCTGGGATGATGAAGACATCATTCTGTAGGTCATATTCTGCCATCTTGGTGACAGTCATGTGTCCATTGATCTCCTTCCAGAGCACAACATCATATCCAGTATTTAAATCCCCATGAGCATCAAAATGAAATGAATTCCCTCCATCAGTGAATGTCACATTTTTTAGCACACCAAGTAACTATAAAAAGTAAAAACAGAAATAAGCTCTTAAAATAAATGTTGCAAGTGTGTTCGTTATTCTAATGATAACACTGCCTTATACAGTATATCACTTAAAAATGAGAGAAAAAAGATTACAGATCACTGGTTCGAGAATTCTTAACTATCTGGCAACAAATTGAGAATGAATTTCACTTGGGTTCTAGCCTCATTTCTGCCTAACTTTTGCCATATAAATTTGGAAAAGCAAGTTAATTTCTATGAATGGTTGTTTCTAAGTATCTGCGTTTATCCTACAGAATTTTAGAATAGGTCCCCTGGTATAGACACCTGGGATCTAACTGTGGTTCTTTCTCTCATCAGAGAAATCTTGACAGGTACAATTACTTTCTATCTTATTATCTCCAATGGTTCTTAAGTTTGTTTCAATGATTGAGTATGTAGTAAAGTGATCTTTAAATTATATTTCTAAGTTAATTCACAAAATGATTTATTTTTTAACTTGAGAGGAAAGAAATATAAGGATAAGTTGCCTGTCTTGCTACCCAGTTTGTACAGTGAGAACTTGTATACTACAGAGTTAGGACAAAAAATATTTTGCTTACAAATGGGGTAGCCATATTGAGGTTGTGCTGTAGTGGAAGAACAATAGACTAGAAGGTAGGGAAACAGGCTGCTGTTCTGGCTTCAACATTAACTTAATATATAAGTAAGCCAAATAAATATCCTTTCCGAATGCTTTCATAATGGCCCATTTATTACCTAAATCTATGGTTTTATGTGGCTTTTGTTGGGTATAAAATCTATAGAATAAGGCAGAAATTATTCTATTTGAAGACAATTATTCTATTCTCTTTCTTTTGAGTTAACTTTTTATGAGTGTTTCAATTTTTTGTCAATAGAATATAAAAAATAAGTTACATTTTCAAGTAAATAGATTAGCTATGATAATAACGTCAATGAGAAATGTTTCTTTAGCAGATCTCTACGTGTGTATTTATTTTATGTCTCCACAGATTTCTTAGCTCTTTTAATGGATATCACTTAATTAGTGTTACTTTAAAGAAGCAGGATATCAGATCTAACATGGTGGAATTCACTAACAAAATTTTATTCTAGCAATTGCCTGGAAGAAAAAAAAAAGTAGAGAACAAAAATGAAAGAATATGCAAGAGCCTACCTCCAATGTTCTCACTTCTATCTGTTGACTGGTTTGTTTCTTCTGTTCTTTCCTTAAGCAACATATACATGTAAACCCCAGTGACTCAGTTCTTTAGGGAGCATATCCTCTTCCACACAAGTGTTTGAACTATAATTTCTACCTCTTTTTTTTCCTGTGCTTAATTAGGCTTTATAGGCTAAAGTTCTGACACATATTTGTTCTGTAAATAATCATAAAATTGTATAATGTAAATAAACTTCCACAATTTTATACTTCTTCTTACAGGAAACAGGGTGGAAGCAAATACAACAGTATTTTCATTACTCATTAAATATAATAAAACATTTGCTATGAAGTAAGGTAAATCTTAAGCTGTTATTAAGCTGTTAAATGCTTTTTCACAGCATTTAAAAACATTTTTCATGGAGACTCTGAAATTCACCATTAATTGACACCACAAATTTAGAGAATGGGATTTGCATTTCAATTATCATCTTATTCACCTGTGTGTGATAATGCCCAGTTTTTAAGCACACATGGCCAGGAATCACACCAATTAAGGTGATATGGTTGATATTGCTTTCCATTGTTCTAACTGTGCTGATGTCTGCTCTACCTCCGTAAGTAAGGTTACTGTGGAAAGAGGTATCTTCATGGCTAAGTTAGAGAAGAGCAGAGGACACAGCCTTGCATCTGTGTCCTGATGCCCAGACTATGCCTTCTTTTGTGAAGTTTTCCATTGTGTAGGAGAAAATACACTGATCTAAGGCTGGGGCAGCAGTTTCATTGCTAACTATGTGAATCAACATGGGATAGATCTTTACTGTTAAGGTTTCTTCCATCTCTAAACTCTGACAAGTCTTGGTCACTAGAAACACTTCTTCCTACCACTTCTTCAAGATGCAATGTAAAGAGGATGAGTCCTGTCGGCCTACCATATTTTATAAAGATTAGAGGTGGTGTATATCAGTATCTAGAACCATATGTTTTAAAAATTATTAGTTATTATTATCTTACCATGCCAAAATTACTCTCATGTCTCTCTTGACTTCTGGACTAATATGCAACTACCCTGCTACACTTACTAATACATGTTTCATAAATTCATCAAATTCAACATCTCCAAAATGGAATGCTTAATATTTCTTACTCCCACCAGACCTCCACTTTTCTCTATGTTTCCAGCTTGACAAATGACACCAGTTGTCCCATATTGGAATCATCTGCAGCACTTTTGGTGCTCTCTGTCATCATTTACATCCAATCGACCTTCAAATGCTCTTCATCCTCCCTCTTCAATATCCACGTATACATCTTTTCATCCTTATTGTCTTACCTGTAGGCATTCTTATCTTATGTCTGATTTACCAAATTGGTCTTTCTCCCTTCAGTCTTGTGTCCCTCTAATCAATTCACCTTGGATGGAAAAAGTATCATATCACTCTCCTGCCTGAGAATGTCTTTAATTAGCTGCCCTATCCTCTGTCAAGTTCAAACCTTTGAACATAATTTGCAGCCTTTCCATTTAAGGAGGTGTCCCTATACTAGCAGTATCAGCATCATCTGGGACATTGTTAAAAATGTAGACTTTTCAGTCCCACTGTGGAACTACTGAATTAACAGATAATAAGATTCCCAAGAAAGTCAACTGCACATCAAAGTTTGAGATGCCCTGATGGACAAGGCTCTAATAATATATCTTTCACTAACTCATTCAGTTAGTCCTTCACTAACTCATTACAGCTCTCTTGCAAGACTCCAGTCATATAGCATGATTTCCTGCTTCCTGAAGATGCTGTGCTTTCTTTTCTCTATTTTCTGGGACTCTGCTGGAATATTTCTGTTCTGGCTAACTGCTACTCTTCCTTGCATTCACACAGAGGTCATGTTTTTTGGAGAATATTCTCTGAATTGGTAATACTGGATTAGCTGTCTCACTTAAGTACTTCTCTGCCATCTTGTGTTTATATGAAACACTATAATGCACCATCCTACATTGTAATCAGCTCCTTAATTGTTTGATTGTACACATCACTGGACAGATAATTCCTTTAGGGAAGGAATTCTGTCCTGTTCTCCATAATATCTTCACCACCCAACACACTGCCTGAAACATTGAGACACCAAACATTTACTAAATAAGTATATGAATAGAAGTTTAACTATTAGACATTCTTTCATCTCTCGCACATCACTTACTAGCTTATATATCATCAGAAGTAAAGGAAAACCAAAAAGAAAACCAAAATCACTGGTCACAGCAAGGAAGTGGTATCCTCTACACACATCTGAGGAGCATCAAAAATCTGCTGAAGTAAAACAAGCAAGAATGTGCTGTCCCTGAGTATGGCTCACAAATATCACCACATATAGGGTCAAAGTAAGTACTATCCTCAAACACTGAACTTAACCCCTTTAAAATTATTTGAATCTAAAATCATTTAGAATGTACTCTTTAAATATTAGTGAATTTTGCTAGGGTACAAAGTAATCCTTAAGAATGTATCATTGACTAGGGACCCTAAATGTTGCTGATCTTTAAAATTTAAGTCTACAGAGATTTCTTTATAAAAGGATAACTCTTTGTATTATTTGTCTTACTGACTCTTGCACTGACTTGATATGGCTCACTCATGTCATGATCAAAGGAGCAAGTCATCCCCCTATTCTTCCTTTCCAATCTGTTTCTGTTTGTTTCTAGATTAACAGGTTCTGGGGGCAAAAAGAATGACTCCAGGTTCCTCGTGTTTAAATAAAACATTTTAGGACACTCTGCTTAGATGATTTCTTCTCAAATCTTATCATCAACATGTTTGAGACTTATTCCTAATTTAAAATACTTTCTCTATTTTTCCCCATATCTTCAGGTGGTGAATAACTCTTGCTATTTGCATTTCTTTGTCCTTATGAGGATCTTCATATAACCGCCCCCCCGCTCCACTTTATGTCATCTGTCTCTACGACTGTTCTCTATGTCTCTTTCTCAATCTCTTATTTCTAAAATTCTATGTGGTGGTATTATTATTGTAGTCTAATTTTAAAAATTAAAACTGTTTTTCTGCAGTGCACCAGGCCAAAAGCCTTGGAATATATTAGAAAACTTTGTACTGACCTTGGAATATAGTGAAGAATGATGATCTAAAAAAGATAATTTATGGCTTTTACCACCATCATTAAAGTTTTATATTACAAAGGGAATGCTTTCATATAGGTGTCTTAAAGTCATCAGACATAACTATATATATATATATTTTATATATAGATATATATATATTTTAAGAGTGCACTTGAGAAAAGGTCCTAATCTCTAGTTTTACCCCTTTATTAGATTTTTGGCTTTGTATTTATAAGGTAAAAAGTAGTTTAAAAGTGAGCAATTTAAAATACCCTCCCACCATTGCATGATCCTCCCAAATGTTAACTGGTCATACCAGTCCTCAGAGATGGTATTTTTGGGTGTTTAAAGTAAAAAAAAATGACAAAAGTAGAAAAAACTTGTTCTAGATATCCACTTGTATGATCAGAAGAATTGTCTTACTTCTTTACCTTCTTTTCTCTTACAAATTTAAAAAATACATATTTTGTAACATGATTCTGCCTCAGGACACACAAGTTTGTCTTTGAATACACGTTATTGAGAAATTTGTTTCTAATAAGTAAAACATCATTATTAAAGGAAGCAATGTAGTTTTCAATGCCTTGTTCAAGGGCATTTGAGAAAGCACAATGGAAATTTTTCACTAAATAAAGCCATGTTAAATTTTAAGTTTCCCCAAACTAATCAAAGAGAAGAAAGGGAAAAAGTTCTTTTACACACAATTGCTGGTTTCTTTAAACCTGGAATATCATAACTGACCTAACAACATTCCTTTGACGAATACTGGAGTCCAAGTCCTTTACGTATATACATATACACATAAAGACTCTAATGGTCTTATGTGTATATGTATTTATTTACTCTACCTCCATCCTAATTGAGAGTCTTAACTATAAATGTTGGGATTATAAACCACCAAAGACAGTGAAAAGCAAGGAAGGTGGAGTCAGAAGACCTAGACTGCAGTTGTATTTCTGGTACTTCCTAGCTTTAGTTTCCTCATCCATCATATTTAGTAAAAAAACAAAAGGATTATTAAACATGTCAGCTCTAACTCTTGTGTTTTTTTAAGAGCATTTAAAAGTGATAATTTATATGACTCAAGGAAAATAGCATCATCAAAATAATTTTCGTGGGAAATAAAAGAATACAACTTTGGTAGGTCAGAGTAGGAAGTGAAGATAAAATACAACTCTATTATCTTCAAGAGTAAGGCACTATGATAGAAATGCAGGTTATTTAAACACTGAAAGTGCCGATTTATAAAAGGAATAGGATTAAGAGCAATGAATATAAATCTTTGCAAATTAAAACAGGGAAGGAAATGCGGAAAATGATGGTAGGAGAGTTTTTCTTGGATGTGTAAGTTACTACCTCCCATGGTTGAAAAGCGTTGGGGTTCTGACAGTCACGAGCTTGACACAGATCCCGAATGGCATAACCAAGGGCAAACACTGCAAGTTGAATACTATGAATGAGTCCTGGCTCAGCATAGTCCCGGAGGAAGTCATTTCTCATGAAGAAGTTTCTTTCTATAGCCTTGTTAGCCTTGTAGGCCAAAGTCCTTTGAGAATGATTGAAAATGCATTGGCTCAAATCAGTGTCCTTGGCATATGTGCAGGCAGATAAATGCATGGCATATTCATGTAAGAGTTTGTTACTGTCACTGGGAAGCAAGTGCAGATTTTGAAGAAAGGAATGGAAAGCGGATATATTCCCTCTTCTAAAGGTAAATCCCACAACTTTGCCAATCTTTTTAACATTAGGAATGGTGGTAATCTTGGTGGCAGTTGACCAATTATCACTAGCAATCCACATCTTATTTATATTCATTTTAATGGCTTTATTGAAGAGATCAAAAACATGGAATTGCCTCAGAAATACCACAATGACATTAACCTGGGCTTCTAAAATGATTTTCTTCAGTGTCTGATTGATTCTGACTTCAATGGTATTATCTGAAAGAAAGGCTGGAAGAACCTCTTTGAAGGCTATGCACACGTTATTTGCTTCAGCCTGAATTATAAAAGTGTTAAGAGCCAATCGTCCATAGTCATCATCTGTAGTTATGATGCCAATCCAGTTCCAACCAGATTTCTGAATCAGGTGAACCATTGCTTTAATTTGATGGAAGTCACTGGGCACAGTCCGTAAAAATGAAGGAAAGCGAATTTTGTCACTCAGGATTTCTGCAGTTGATTCATAACCCACCTGGAAATAGACAGAATATTTTAGTTATGGTGTTGAGGAACTCCAGGTGACTGTTCACAGTAGGTATTCCTCTCTTTGATTGCTGTAAGTTTTCACGACTTTCCTTAAATTCTCTAGCCTTTTTCATCCTTCTTCTATGAATTACTACTTTACAAACAGCTTAAATCATGATACTTAGCCCCGATGATGGTTTAGAATCACGACTTTCTAATTATTTCATACTGTGTTTAGTACAGGCCTTCTGAGAATTCAGGCTCTCTCTCATTTTCCATTTACACCTCTATATTCCTCTATATCTATCTTGTATCTCTGGCAGGGGGCCAAGAGTGGATATTATTCAAATACTTAGAAGTAAATACAGGAAAAATGCAGTCCATCACATAAACAAAATGCTGTTTGGAACATCAGTGTGCTCAAAATCTTGTCTAATGCATAATTTGGGTGATTTTATTCTAGGTAAAGTCAATCAGTCAAATAATCATCTTGTCCAGGGATCAGCAAAATTTTCCTGTAAAGAACCAGATATAAAATATTTTAAGCTTTTTTGGTCATGTATAGTCTCTGTCATATCTTTTTGTTGTTGTTGTTACAACCTTTTAGAAATGTAAAAACTATTTTTAGCTTGGAAGCTCAAGAGCATGAGAGCCACATTTGGTCCACAGGCTGTAGTTTTCTGACTCCTGATCTAGTCAAATAAGTATCAGCATTTTTGGAAGACCTACTTAATGTACACAAAGTTTTGCCTGATTCATAGCTTTGGTGAATTATTACCTTCTATAGATGCAATAGCAACATGTCACTTGTTCAGCATTTCTTTTTTTTTTTTCTTTCTTTCCTTCTTTTTTTTTTCTTTTCTTTTCTTTCTTTTTTTTTTTTTTTACCTACTTGCAGCTGCCATGTGGTGTGGTGGAAAGACAATAGGCTTGGGAACAAGATAAACTGTTAGAATCCCAACTCCAATAAATTTGGGAATGTTATTTAATGTTTCTTTACTGTAAAGTTATAAGATTCTTGCTAAGATTAAAGGAGAAAATTTAAACAGATAAGAGCACACTTTCAGTAAACCTAAGTTACCTTCCAAGTACCTGATGTTGCTATGCTTAGCCACATTAAGAGTTGAACTTTCTTAAAATTAGTGTTACCCATGGAACGTCCCCTTACCTTTTCTGCTGTCTATTACAGAAATTGCATTTTTGCATTAGCCAGTTGTTGTTAAGTCTGCTTTCCTTACTTATCACCTAACTAGTTTCATACATAGTCTAGAAATTTTAAGCCAAAGCCTTATCTTTGATGTGTTTGATAAATAGTTCTTTTTGTTTAATCATTTTGGATTACATTTTTTAATTACCCACATCACTATAATATAATGGAACTCTAATAGTCTTTGTATGTATACGCATTTATTTACTCTACCTCCAAAAAGTTATGTATTTTGAATTCTTATACACATTTTCATTATGTTACATATATATATATATATTTTCTGTCTGCTCACTTCTGTCAGATGGTCATTTCTTAATAATCTGAATATAAACCTTTTTCTTTTCTAACTTTTGACTTCTCCCTTAAGATTAGAAATCAGTGATGTAGAGAGTTACAAAGTAGTGTGATTTCACAATGAAAGCTAAAGAGACTTAATTGACTCTGAGCAATGTTCAAGAACTTAGTACACAGTGCTCTGATATCTGATTTGTTTTTTTCAGAGAACTTTTTGCTTACTTTCTGGTTATCGGCTTGCATTCCAGGGAAAGAAATAGCTCTACAGTCTTTGCTCAATGCCTTCCCATCATATTCAGAACAACATGCAAACTGTCCCAGGGCTTACAAGATGCCACATGACCCAGGCTTTGCCTATCTCTACAAAAGCATCTCTTACTATGTTTCCTTTTGCTTTGACTGATCTAGCTAGATTGGCCTTTTTGCTATTCTTCAGGCATTCCAACTTTGCACTTGCTACTTTCTCAGATACTCTTTCTCCCCTCCCTCATCCTCTCTTCACACTCCTCACTCAAGCTTGAGACTAAATGTCACTTCCTCAAGAAGTCTTCTTTTGACCTCTCTGTCTCCTTACTCCTGAATCTCTTTAGTTTCTTCATAGCATGTGACTGATGTTATTTTAGAAACAAGGCAGTTTAGGCCCAAAGATGTTTGTGTCTTATACAAATCAAGCTGAAAACAGTCAGAAACTAGACCTGATAGATTGAGGGGTAATTACTCCCTTAGTACTTTTCCACTATACCCTCTGTAATGGCATGCATCCTTTCTTTAACTAAAGAGAAAGAAAGGTTAAAGTAAAAGTGACTCCCTAACTAGTTTCCTCAGGTTTCCCTGATCCTTTCATAATAACAAATGTGATCAAAATCAATGTATGGAGGTAGCACAAAACCTACCTGTGGCATGAGCTGTAAATTCAACATCCTGGAGACAGCCATTGTTATTTCTGAATACCCAGAACCTATGACAGCCTTAACTCTTGGCATGTAGCTGGAATAGTCACACTTAAACTCCACAGTTTCTTTGGAGCAGTTGAATTTAGAAAGAAACCTCAGAGTGGCTGCCATTGCCACTGTGACTTCTGTACAAGTGTCATAGATTTCATACCCCAGTTTGACTCCAGATAATAGTGTTGAATTGTTGATCATCTCAATGCTGTGTATCATGGCAAGAGTTTGAAGAAAGACTGATATTTCAAAGCTGTTGGGAAACAAGTTTTTTTGAAATCAGAACATAACTCTTCTATGGACATGCCCATATCTCATTTTGCCTACATCTCCTCATAAAAATTTCTGGATGAGTGAATCTTATCTCTTAAAGGATCTAAATTTTATTTAAAAACAGTTTTTCATGAAAATATTTATAAAGAGTAATATAAGAACCCACAGTTTCTTAAAAGGAGTCTATGCTACAGGATTTAACTTTTCTTGATGATTTTTTGATCACTTTAAACAATGCAATATGAAGATATGTTTGATTTTTGTCCTTTTTGTAGTTAGAGATCAGTATTTTATTGCTGTCAAAATGCTTGCTTTTTAGACTTATAAGCTTGTCTTTTAGTTTCTGATTCTAATCTGTGGGGTTGGAACCCAGATAAATAAGACTCTTAAGAATTACATTTAGACAGCTTTGGTTAAAGCCTAACAGTCTGCTCCTAGATAAAGTGCCTTATTTTAGTTCTGAGGCATAGCTATTTCCACATTCAGAGGATACTTTTTATACATCTTGATCTGTGATTATTTCAGAGCACTGAGTTGTCTGATTACTGATTTACTGTTAAGTTTATTTCATCTACCACTGTATTCAAAATACTACAAATAGTGCCTAATATATAATAAGGGTTCAAAACACTTTTTAAAAATGAATAAAGGGGGGATATTATTGTTCAGGGTTTGATATTCTAGTTTCTTTTTAGTTAATTAAGCTTTGATAATTAAACTATTGGAATATTACTATTTGTCATTGTGAACCATATTTAGATGGTTCTATCTCTACAAATGCATCACTTGCTATGTTTCCTTCTGCTTCACTGATCTAGCCAGATTAAATTTTTTGCTATTCTGCAGACATTCCAACTTTGCACTTGTTGCTCCTTGGCCGGATACTCTTCTCACCTCCCTAAAATAATAAAGTAAGTAATAATAAAAATATATTAATAAGTTAAAGTATTTGAAGATTACTATTTGTCATTGTGAACCATGGCTTGCAATGACAAATAGTAATACTCAAATAGCTTCATTTAGCAAAATGTAATGAACTAAAAAGAAACTGTAATATCAAAACCCTGAATAATAATATCCCTCTTGATGTGAAGGATCTCTTCAAGGAGAACTACAAACCACTGCTCAATGAAATAAAAGAGGACACAAACAAATGGAACATTCCATGCTCATGGATAGGAAGAATCAGTATCGTGAAAATGGCCATACTCCCCAAGGTAATTTATAGATTCAATACCATCCCCATTAAGTTACCAATGACTGTCTTCACAGAATTGGAAAAACTACTTTAAAGTTCATATGGAACCAAAAAAGAGCCCACATTGCCAAGACAGTCCTAAGCTAAAAGAACAAAGCTGGAGGCATCATGCTACCTGACTTCAAACTACACACAAGGCTACAGTAACCAAAACAGCATGGTACTGGTACCAAAACAGAGATATAGACCAATGGAACAGAACAGAGCCCTCAGAAATAGTATCACACATATACAACCATCTGATCTTTGACAAACCTGACAAAAATAAGAAATTGGGAAAGGATTTCCTGTTTAATAAATGGTGCTGGGAAAACTGACTAGCCATAAGTAGAAAGCTGAAACTGGATCCCTTCCTTACACCTTATACAAAAATTAATTCAAGATGGATTAGAGACTTAAATGTTAGACCTAAAACCATAAAAACCCTAGAAGAAAACCTAGGCAATACCATTCAGGACACAGGCATGGGCAAGGACTTCATGTCTAAAACACCAAAAGCAATGGCAACAAAAGCCAAAATTGACAAATGGGATCTAATTAAACAAAAGAGCTTCTGCACAGCAAAAGAAACTACCATCAGAGTGAACAAGAAACTTACAGAATGGGAGAAAAGTTTTGCGATCTACTCATCTGACAAAGGGCTAATATCCAGAACCTACAAAGAACTCAAACAAATTTACAAGAAAAAACAAACAATCCCATCAAAAAGTGGGTGAAGGATATGAACAGACACTTCTCAGAAGACATTTATGCAGCCAACAGACACATGAAAAAATGCTCATCATCACTAGCCATCAGAGAAATGCAAATCAAAACCACAATGAGATACCATCTCACACCAATTAGAATGGCAATCATTAAAAAGTCAGGAAACAACAGGTGCTGGAGAGGATATGGAGAAATAGGAACACTTTTATACTGTTGGTGGGACTGTAAACTGGTTCAACCATTGTGGAAGACAGTGTGGTGATTCCTCAAGAATCTAGAACTAGAAATACCATTTGACCTAGCCATCCCATTACTGGGTATACACCCAAAGGATTATGAATCATGCTGCTATAAAGACACATGCACACGTATGTTTATTGCGGCACTATTCACAATAGCAAAGACTTGGAATCAACCCAAATGTCCAATGACAGACTGGATTAAGAATATGTGGCACATATACACCATGGAATACTATGCAGCCATAAAAAAGGATGAGTTCATGTCCTTTGAAGGGACATGGATGCAGCTGGAAACCATCATTCTCAGCAAACTATCACAAGAACAGAAAACCAAACACCACATGTTCTCACTCATAGGTGCGAATTGAACAATGAGAACACTTGGACACAGGAAGGGGAACGTCACACACTGAGACCTGTTGTGGGGTAGGAGGAGTGGGGAATTATAGCATTAGGAAATATACTTAATGTAAATGACGAGTTAATGGGTGCAGCACACAAACGTGGCACATATGTACATATGTAACAAACCTGCACGTTGTGCACATGTACCCTAGAACTTAAAGTATAATAAAAAAAATTAAAAAAGAAACAAAACAAACAAAAATATCCCTCTTTACTAAAATTGTAAATTTAATTAAGACATTTTAATTCCTTAATTAAAATTTTAATTTTAACATTACAATTTCAATTTAAAATGAGAAGTAAGCCCAGCTTATCATTGGCACAACCAACATTAGCGAGCACCACTCAGGACTCAGAGAGTCATCCTGTCACTGCCATTGCCATCATGCATGCCACGCAAGTGTCCCAAGAGCCCAAGAAATCACCCACCTGCTGGTTCCATGGCTTCCACTACCAGTATTTGAGTAAGGCCCTGGAGGCCCAAGAATTGGCCTGATTTGACCTAACACTGGTGCCAGGGTATGCTGCCCTGGGACACAAGGATGGGCATACTCAGACCATTGCTAATACTACTGGGGCTCAAAGACTGGCTTACTTGGCATTCCAGTCACCAGCAAAACTGCATCATAGTCCCAAGAATAACTGTACCATAGGCCACTGAGGAAATGTCAGATGGCACTTATGCTAGTCACGGCCAAAGAAGTCAAAGAAATTATACTACTACTGCAACCAGAATAAAAGTCAAAGTACCCTGCCCAACCAAAACTATCTATTCATCCTTAGTAAATGTTCTCCCCCTACAAAAACAAAGTTTTAAAAATTGGAAGAAGCAACTGAAACATCAGATGTACATATACTAACATAAGAACACAGAAAACATGAAAAAGCCAGAAAAGATGACACTTTTAAAGGAAAATATACTATAATAATGTTCTTTAAGAAAAAAAATTTAAATAACTTTTTGAAAAAAGAAACACGATAATTCTCCAGAAACATATCTCAATCAAAAAGCAATGAATGAAATTCCAGAAAAAGAATCCAAATTACAGATTCTAAAGAAGGATAGTGAGATACAAGATAATTCTGAAAAACAATACAAAGAAATCTGAAAAACAATTCAGAATATGAATGAGAAATTTACCAAAGACATAGATGTTGTAAAAGAATCAAACAGAAATTCTGCAACTGAACAATTCATTGAATGAACAACATGAAACACTTGAAAGCTTCAACAATAGATTAGCTCAAGCAGATGAAAGAACCTCTGAACCTGAAGACAGTTCAGGTTCAACTTTTGAAATAATCCAGCCATGAAAATATAAAGGAAAAAAAAAGAATTAAAAAAAGCTAAACAGGCCTGGCGCAGAGGCTCATGCCTGTAATCCTAGCACTTTGGGAGGCCGAGGCGGGAGGAACACGATGTCAGGAGATTGAGACAATCCTGGCTAACATGGTGAAACCCTGTTTCTACTGAAAATACAAAAAATTAGCCAGGCGCAGTGGCAGACAGCTGTAGTCCCAGCTACACGAGAGGCTGAGGCAGAAGAATGGCGTGAACCTGAGAGGTGGAGCTTGCAGTGAATTGAGATCACACCACTGCATTCCAGACTGGGCAACAGAGCAAGATTTCGTCTAAAAAAAAAAAAAAAAAGAAAAAGCTAAACAAAGCCTTCATGATATGTGGAACACCATAAAGTGATCAAATATAGAAATTTTGATATCCCAGAAGGTAAAGAGATATTGAAATAGTTAAACATATATAACAAAATAATAGATAAAAATAATAGATAAAAACTTTCCACAGCCAGTAAGAGGTTTAGACATCCAGATACAGGAGGCCCAGCAATCCCTAAACAGATACAATGCACAAACTCTGCACAGCACATTATAGTCAAAATGTCTAAAGTCAATGACAAAGAGAATTCTAAAAACAGAAAGAATTTAGTCACCTCTAAAGGAAATCCCATCATACTGATGGAAGATATGTCAGCAGAAACCTTATAGACCAGAAGAGAAGGAGATGATATAAAGTGCTTAGGAAAAAACCCTGCTAGTCAAGAATACTATATCCAGAAAAATAATCCTTCATAAATGGAGGAAAAATAAAGTTGCTCCTAGACAAGCAAAAACTGAGGGAATTCAACACCACTAGACTGGCCCTACAAATGCTCAAAGGAGTTCTATACCTGGAAGTGAAATGTTGATGCTTATCATGGTGAAAACACAACAAAGTGTAAAACAATGGTAAAAAAGAGGAAGGACTCAAATGATACTACTACAGATATTCATGTATAAAACTACAATAACAAAAAATGAGAAAAAGAAAGGAATATAGAATACATACAACAAACAGTAAGCAACAATATG